TTTCAGACACCTCAAGAGGATTATGTGGAGGCTGCGGTGAAACAAGCTCTGCAGGTCCATTTGTCTGGTGCACCTGGAGATATCCTTGTCTTCATGCCTGGTCAGGAGGATATTGAGGTGAGTTGTTTGGCCATGAGCAAGCAGTGTGCCCTTGTTGCCAATAAAGCTGATGTTATCCTGGGGCACCTTTAAAAAACGATGGCCAGCAGGTCATGGGAGGTGATCCTCCCTCTCTACTCTGACCTGGTGAGGCCACATTTAGATTACTGTGTCCAGTTCTGGGCTCTCCAGGTCAAAAAAGACAGGGATCTCCTAGAAGTCCAGCAGGGGGCCACAAGGATGATAAAGGGCCTTTGGGGCATCTCATGGATGAGGAAAGGCTGAGTAACCTGGGTCTTTTCAGCCTGTGGAAAAGGGTTGGACTTGATCTCTTGAGGTCCATCCCAACCCCTGCAATTCTGCGATTCTGAGTCCTATTTTCTTAATTGTATGTTAACACTCCTCTTTGTGTCTAGGTGACTTCAGAACAAATTGTGGAGCACCTTGAGGAGCTGGAGAAGGCACCTGCACTTGCTGTACTGCCCATCTATTCTCAGCTGCCATCGGACTTACAAGCCAAGATATTCCAGAAGGTGCTGATGTGTACTCTGATGGGACTGGGCAGAGGTGAAACTAGCACAGGGAAGGCTACTGGGCATGAGGGAGAGGTGCAGAGATGTCTTTTGTGTGGTACTTATAGAGCAAGGGAAAGCATGTGCCCACTTTAACTTCCTAAGAAGTCACCCATGTTGTTCTAAGTTCTTTATGGCTGCTCTGCAGTCTTCCTCAGTGGTGCAGAGGCTGTTGCCCAAGGAATTTGACTGATGTGTGGTATGTTTGCAGGCTCCAGATGGGGTCAGGAAGTGCATTGTTGCCACTAACATTGCAGAGACCTCACTGACAGTGGATGGTATCATGTTTGTTATTGACTCTGGATACTGCAAGCTGAAGGTAAGCAAAGGTTTCCTATACTGTCCATGGATCTCTGGCATTGGGTTGATTGAGCTCTGTGACAGTGACCCAGCCTTTCTCTTTCTTCAGTCTGCTCTCCTTGCGCCCTCCAGGTTTTCAATCCCCGTATAGGCATGGATGCACTGCAGATCTACCCCATCAGTCAAGCCAATGCCAATCAGAGAGCTGGCCGAGCTGGCCGAACAGGCCCAGGTCACTGCTTCAGGTAGGCTCATACTGGTGTTTCTATTCTTATCATAATTCATGTCTGGACATCTGGCTACGTATTTTTTTCCTCACTGAAGAGCTAGCTGTTCACTGTCTTGAGCCTACTGTGGGTATGAGGTTTCTGGACAGGCCTTGAGGCTTTGGTTTGGACCCAGCGTCTCTGCAGAGTATGCTCTCATTTCTTCCCTTGCCAGTTTTCACTTGTGACTCTTTCCATCTTTGCTGAACCAGATGCTTTAATGCTCTCAGGTTAATAGCCAAGCCAAAGGCAGCTTTCTCAAGGCTTTTCTTTGAGGCTGGTTTGTACCCAGGGAAAGACTGTGTTTGAGAGAGGTGTACCTTTGCACTGCAGCCCAGGTGCTCTTATGTGCTGGGGAGGCTGCATGGTGGCCTGAGGAAGAACTTCCTTAGGGTCCTGCTTGTCGGCATGGGTGAGTGCAGAGCTGCTGCTTTGTGCTGTGCCTGCTGGAGTTGGGAATGGATGGTCATTCAGTGAGGAACACAGTGGCCTGAAGGGGAGGGGAAGGCTCTTGGCATCTTTCCCCCAGGCTCTACACCCAGAGCGCCTACAAGAATGAGCTGCTGACAACCACGGTGCCTGAGATCCAGCGCACCAACCTCGCCAATGTAGTGCTTCTGCTCAAATCCCTGGGGGTACAAGACCTGCTGCAGTTCCACTTCATGGATCCGCCCCCTGAGGACAACATGCTCAACTCCATGTACCAGTTGTGGATTCTGGGGGCCCTGGATAACACAGGTACTGGCTACAGGGGTGGGCTGTCAGCTCACACACAACTGCTAGGACCTGCCCACCTGCTGATTATTACAGTATTCCTCCAGGTGGTCTGACCTCTACAGGACGTCTGATGGTGGAGTTCCCACTGGATCCTGCACTCTCCAAAATGCTCATTGTGTCATGTGACATGGGTTGCAGCTCTGAGATATTGCTCATTGTTTCCATGTTGTCTGTGCCTGCCATCTTTTATCGGCCTAAGGTACTTGTTTGATCTTTCAGCAGCTTGGCGCCTTCATCTGCACTCTTGACTGACGTGTTCTTTGCTTATTCTTCAGGGCCGAGAAGAAGAGAGCGACCAAGTGCGGGAGAAATTTGCTGTCCCAGAGAGTGATCACTTAACTTACCTGAACGTTTACCTGCAGTGGAAGAACAACAACTACTCTACTCTGTGGTGCAACCAGCACTTCATTCATGCCAAGGCCATGCGGAAAGTGAGGCTGTGGCAATGAGGTTTGGAGAAGGAGCCTTACATGGGAGAGGGACCTGACTGTTGTGTTTCTGTGCAGGTGCGAGAGGTGCGTGCCCAGCTCAAGGACATTATGGTGCAGCAGCGCATGAGCCTTGCATCCTGTGGTACTGACTGGGATGTTGTCAGGAAGTGTATCTGTGCTGCGTACTTCCATCAAGCTGCAAAGCTGAAAGTGAGAGGGGTCTCTGCTCATCTGGGTGATAAGAGACCCTCTCCACTGGGAATGGGTGTGCTAACCTCACTTCTCCTGTGCAGGGCATTGGGGAGTACGTCAATATCCGTACAGGCATGCCTTGCCACCTGCACCCCACCAGCTCCCTCTTTGGAATGGGCTACACGCCAGACTACATTGTATATCATGAGCTGGTCATGACCACCAAGGTAAACTTGAGCTGAGGGCTAGCATGAAGGGTGAGCTGTGCTCCAAGGGACCTGAGAAGCTTTGCCTTGATAGTAGAATCTAGGAAGGTCCCGTTTTCAGCCTTTCTCATCTCTAGCAACTGGATGTATCTGTGTAGTCTGCAGTGTCTTGTCCCTTTTGTGATATCTTCCTGGCTTATGTGGGATGTCTTTTAGTCTCACTAACTTCAGGTTGTAGCTTTTGAAGTCAGGAGGAATTGTCCGGAAAGGACAACTGCCATCAAGAAGTGGAGGAGGGAGGGAGCTGCCATGGCTCTGTCAGTGATGCCCAGGCCCTTGTCATCTTGCTAACTGGATCTTCTGTTACCGCAGGAATACATGCAGTGTGTCACTGCTGTGGATGGAGAGTGGCTGGCAGAGTTGGGCCCCATGTTCTACAGTATCAAACATGCTGGCAAGTCACGTCAGGTGAATTCTCCTTTCCAGGAGCTAATGGGAGACAAACAGCGGGCTACTACACTGGAAGGGAGAGTGTGTGCCTGGGTGGAGTTCCTGCTGCATACAGCCCCGCTGCACACCTGTTACGGTGGAGGAAGTTCGAGCTAGTTTTTTGTTTTGTTTTTACATAGAGAGATCAGGGTTGTGGGCCTGTGGAAAGTCTGCTGCTGTGCGGGTCTCTACCTGTTCCTGATTTGCTGCTCCTTTACTGCAGGAAAACCGCCGACGTGCAAAGGAGGAAGCATCTGCCATGGAGGAGGAGATGGCTCTGGCTGAGGAGCAGCTGCGTGCCCGCCGGGAGGAGCAGGAGCGCCGTAACCCATTAGGCAGCGCAAGGTGAGTGCTGACACTGTGGGTTTCCTGCTTAAGAGCTGCACGGAGGATCCCAACTTTCCCACAGGTGTTCCTAGCGCAAGAGTTGTTTTCATCTTACACTGATCACCATTGTCCTTTCCTGGCAGATGTACTAAAATCTATACGCCTGGACGGAAGGAGCAGGGGGAGCCCCTGACGCCACGACGCACCCCGGCCCGCTTTGGCCTCTGAGAAGGGAGTGCTCACTGCTTCGAGGCATAAAGACTTCCCAGGAGCTGCTGAGTTTTAGGGCTCAGTTCCTCTGACTGCTATGAGGCTCTCTACAGCCCGTGGCCCAAGAAGGCTTTGATGCTGCGTATTATTTTTGCTACAGAAGAGAAATAATTTTATTTGTTTAAAGGTTGTCAGTCTTTAACCCTTCTGTTGTTTTGTGTCACTTCTTGTCCTGGAGGTGAGTTCCAGGCAGAGACAGCCCTGCCAAGTTCTGCAGGGCTCGTGCAGTCAGGTCGTTGCCCTGTAGAGCCCGGGACAAGGCAAAGAATTACATTGACATGAAGGACAAAAACAACCTGTGCCTGACCCAGCTCTGGCCTGGACTACTGCAAAGGCAAGTCTTCTATGACCTGTATCCTGGGCAGGCAGCTAGTGCCTAGCTGTCCCTGTACACAAATGAGCATCAGCTTAGCACTGTTTTGGGCCAGGTTGACTGTTACTCTCCTCACCTTCATCTGCTCATGATTGTGGTACTGTACGTGTGTTCTAGCTCTGAAGTATGTGTTTTCCACATGCAAGCTGTCCGGTGTGTCTTGAAGATGTCTGGAGGACAAACAGAGGAAATGAGATAAGGTGAGGTGAGGTACTGGTGCAGAGAGACAGCCTTGCTCTGCTGGCCTTGCAGGAACTTGGGTAATCCAGCAGTTCATCTGTCCCATGCACCCCTGTGGGTGGCAGTAAGTGCTCAGACCCGCTCCCCGTGTTCATTACTTACTGGTTTTCGCCTGTGAACTCTGCAGTCTGTTTGACTTGCTGCTGGATCTTGTGGTGGTGTTTCTCATTTGACTGCCTGAAAATGAGATGTAGGCTGAATTAGTTGTGAGAAGGCAGCCATCGGCTCCCCTCTACTTGTGTAAGGCTTCTTACATCTGCTCTTTCACACTCTGGCTGTTATTGATCAGCATCAGATTCCTGTCCTGGTGCAGCCTACTGCTATTAGAACAGGCTGGGGTGTGGGAAGCATGCAGGGCTTTTACCTAAAAAAAACAATACTCTGTGCTGTGTGTGAACTCGTGTGCTCTACTCAGCCTCTACATGCCCAGGGCAGAAGGAAGGTGCATGAACAGAGCTGTGTGGAGGCAGCAGCCTTTGGGGCTGAGCTGTGTCTGCAGTTGCCTATGTCTTGGTATAGCTGTTCTGGAATGAAGGAACCATTACCTCAGCAGTCTGGACAGAAACTTAGTGTCATACTGAGGGCACCTTTCTAGCAACAGAGGAAAGTGGACTACTTAAAGAAGAACAAGATGTTGGCATGCTGCTGCTTACAGACCCACTGCCACCGCCTCCTCCCTTGGTGTTGGCTCTGCAGTCAGCCCACTTGTGGCTTGGCCTTTCCACCTCTGCCCTGCCTGTAGGCCAGCATCTGTCCTTCAGCGGTGCCTGGGGCTCAGGTTGCAATCCTCCTGCCCTTAGGCCGTGGTTCCGTCTGTTCTTGGCCTGAGCCTGTCTCATGGCCTTGATGAATTCTTCCTTGAAATCCATCTCTGCGTTGCAGACAGACAATTCATCTTCCCGTCTAGCCAGAGCTTGCTGAGTGTCCTGGTGTAACTCCTGCCAGTACTGAACTTGGCTCCTCAGCTTTTGCAGTTGCTCCTGGAAGGAGCGGGCCTGCAGTGGCACAGAGGGGTGACGAGACATGCAGGCTTAGCACAGGTGCCTAGTGGGAAGGCTCAGGTCATGCTTACCTCCTGCTGGCTCTGCGCCTGGGCCCTCTGTTGCTTCTTGAGTTCCCTGTGGAGCTGTTGCCTCTCTTCCTCATAACGACCAAGGAGTGGAAGATTGTGGCCTATCTTTCTCTGGGCTTGGGCCAGCTCTGCCTTCAGGGATGCCACTTCCTCCACCTGCATGAAAAAGGGTGGGTCTGGGAGTGGCCAGACAGGAAGATGGAGCTGCACCCCGGGCCAGCGCTCAGGGCTCTGTCCTGCTGCTGAGGCAGAGGGAGCTGCATGGCAGCCAGCTGCATCGTGTGGTTGCCCTGTTCCTGCCATCACCTGCTCTAGCAGCTCTGACATCTTCTTTCTGCTCGAGGCTGCTTTCTGCTGTAGGTCGTGGATTGTCTGCTTCTGTCTACTGAGCTGCTGCAAGCTTTGCATCTCCCTGGCCTTGGTGGCTGTCAGCACCTCTTGCTGCTTTTCCAGGCTTTCCTGCAGGGTCCGGTTCTGCTCCTTCTGAGCCTTCAGCTGCAGAAAGGTTCCACATGGGTGGAAGCCACAGTGCTGTGTCACTGCTGCTTCCTGTGCCCTCTCCCTGTGGATTCCAGCTCTGTGCTGCATGGGCTTTGTTGCAGATGCTGGGGTGCCTGGTGCACCAGGCTGAGCCCCCTAGTGCCTGAAACTTGGCTTGCTGCCCTACCTGCTTCTTCAGGGCTTGGAGTTGTTCTTGGCTCTTCTGTAGTTCCTGTTTGGCATGGGCAGCAGCATGCATGTGTTGCAGTGACTGCTCCAGAGTCACCTGCTGCTTCTGCTGCCACCGGCTCAGCTCCATCTGGAGCCACACTGCCATCTCCCTGCAAGCATGGCCACAACTGGAGCAGCCCTGGGTCCCCTCCCTCTACAGCGAGGACGCAGGGCAGGGCTCTGCCTGTGCTGGGGCATGGGATCAGGGCCCACATACCTGCTTTCTCCTACCTCCTGCGGCGCTCGCAGCTCCACTATGCTGCTGTCAGCTGTGTGCTGCATGCTACTCCTTGCACAAGAGCATGGCTGTTCCTCTGTGCACTGCATGGTGCTCCCTGCACTCGCCTGCAGCTGTTCCTCCTCGTGCTGTAGGTGGCTTTGGTCTGCCAGTGACTGTGCTGGGACCTGGGCTGCTTGAGACAGGGCTGCTCGCTGGCACTGCCTCCTTCTGCCCTGAGCTTCTGAGAGAAGAGGAGCAGGACTCAACCCAGCAGTGCAGATCAGGGACACTGAATATCCTCAGAACTCCTGGGCTGCTTCCTGCAGTGCTCAGGGCACTGTGTGCCATGGGCCATGTGCTACCTGCTCACCACTCCAGAACTGCCTGGGGTAACACTGCCCTGTAAGTGCAACCAGTGATGCCCCAAATGCACATAGACCCTTCTTACCCTTTCCCTTACATTGCACCAGGATATGCAGAGTGCTGCTATAGTATATGAGCATGGCAGCCCTGGGCTCCGTGCTGAAGCTGCCAGAGCAGCAGGCTGCAGGCTTCACTTGTCCTGGCCTCATTAGCATAGATGTCTCTCTCCATGCCCTCCTACCTTCCTTAGCAGTACTGTGCCCTGTTGATGTTGTGTCCCGTGCCCAGCACTGATGCTCCTGGGCTTCCCACCTCTGTCTGCAGTGCTCTGTGCCTGCTTGCACGGCCACCTGTGGGAGCAGCACAGTGTTGGGGCATTGCCTGCCAGCTCCTGGCAGTCCGCACGCTGGCACTGTGCCCGAGGCACAGACCTGCTCGAGTTGCTCTGTGTACTTCTCCAGGAGATCATCACTTGCACTGGAACTACTACAGGAATCTGCAGAAGTTGCCTCTATCTGAGCTGTGTCCTTCTGGTCCTGTGGAGAGGTGCAGAGCTGTTTGTGGGCCCCCAGCAGAGTGCACTGCGCCATGCTCTGCCCATGGAGGGGCCGGGACTCGAGATGGAGAAAGGTAAGCTGGGACAGCCTGATGGTAGTGGGCTTTAGAACGGGTTTTTGGTAAAGGGACACGGCCAGCCCCATGGGGCTGCAGCTCCTGGCCCCTGGTCCCTGCCACAGTGCCCTTCCCATGGTGGCAGTATCTCCTGTCTCCCCGCAGCCCTGTGCAGCAGCCCCTAACCCATGTTGGGGTGCAGAGGAGAGCTGCGAGCCCAGCTCCATGGATCCCAGGCTGCAGATGCCACATAGGGGCTGCAATCACCCAGCTCTGCTCTGTTGAGCAGACAGGCCTACTACAATTGTGCCTGCTTGGAGTGGGAGTGTGGTGCTGTGTTCTCACCCTGTGCATGGCAGCTAGAATGTGCCCTGTGCTCTGTGGGCTGGTCACTGCTCTCTGCAGTGCTGTTGGGCAGCAGTGGTGCCTCACTAGGTCTGAGATGGCTGCAGGGGACCCGTGGCTGAGGGTGGGGAATTTATACAGCCCAGCCTGTGGCCTTTGCGCTGGGCAGCGGTACCTGCTCCATTACTGCCCGGTAATGATGCTTCTGAGAGATCAAGTCCTGGTGCTTCTGCTCCACCATATGCTGCTGCAGATGCAGCTGGGCCAACCGTATGTTGTTCAGGTCCCTGCAGATGTCCAAGTCCACCTGCAGCATCTGTAGGAAGGCTCGTGTGTCCTGCTGCTGTGATTCCTGGTGTGTCTGTGCCCCTCCATACTGTGGCTCCAGCACTACTGCTTCTCTCTGGCCCTAGGACACAGCGTGAGCAGCAGCTTGTCTGTCTCATGTCTGTGAGTGGTACTCAGTGTCAGCCCACTCTGTAGCCCCTGACAGACACTGGGGGCTGGACAGATGTGCTGCGGGGCCAGGTTTTGGTCAGCAAGCAGCACCAGACTGCTGGGTGCAGACCTCTCCCCAAGTGTGTGTTCAGCCATCTCCTAGAGGTCTCAGGCACTATTGCTGCCCAGCTCTGCAGCATGCTGGTGTAACCTGTGGCAACTGTGAAAAATGGTGGCAGTTGCACCAGTGCAGCTGCTGCAGAGCCGGATGCTCCTCCCCAAGCCCTCGCACTGTTCCCAAGCCCCAGGGGTGGGCTCTCTGTTGGCACAGGTGATGGCTGCCAGGGCCTCCCCACTGCCTGCCCACCAACCTGCAAATGCACACCCACTGCCTGACACTGCTTACCTGAGACTGAGAGGACTCCATCTCCTGCTGCTGCTGCTGGATGTGGCTGCTCTGCTCTGCCATGGTCACCTCTGCCCCTCGCAGTACTCCCTGGGTCTCCTTAGACTGGCATCTCACTTCAGGAACCTCCCTGCATGTGCCATATTCTGGTCACATTCTCTCTGCTGCAGAGACCAGAGCATGGAATAAGACAACACAGACAGCCCTGGGTCCCGTGGAAGGGGGCAGCCAGGGACATCACCCAGGCCTGCTCACACCATTGGTGCTGCAGCTTCCAGGAGCACCTGCTGCCTGTGAAGGGAAGGCACACGGGGCTCACCCAACCCCAGCAGGATCAGTCCCTCCTCTCCAGGGTGCAGGGCCCCAGCGGTGCCTGCAGTTCTCACCTCCCCGCACCACTCTCCTTCCCCTTGCCCATGCTGCATCCCAGGCATGGCATGGCACTCTTCCCACTACAGCCCAGCCCTGGTCTTGTTCTGAGGACAATGCCTAGAACCAGAACCCGGTGACACTGCGCCTGGCCCAGGTTGTTGCACAGCAAACCATCACTGTGCCCAGTGCTGGCAGGGGCTGAATCTTCTGGCAGCCTTGTACCAATCTCAGGTATTCACACCCTCACGTCTCTGTGCCATCCTTGTGCCGCACTCCAGCCACGCTGCCGAGGTGCAGAGTGGAGCTGTGCTTGGTGCCATAGGTGCTGTACCCTGGGCTGCATCCCGGCGGGGCTCACAGAGCTGCACAGTGCTGCCAGAGGAGGGATTGACTGCATCGACGGCGGCTGCTGCTCCGTGCTTCTGTCCAAAAAGGTAAAAGTAACAGGAACAAGTTGTCGGAAATTAAATTTCAATTTCTCCACGCCCTTCCCTGTCTGTGCGGCTTCCCAGCACGGATCAATAGTGTTTAGACAGCCAGGAAGATTTTTTTCCCCTTTTAAAGCACCAGATCAATAGTGGGAAAAAACACAGCACTGATCCCTCTGCTGCATGAGCTGTGGTACCCAAACAGCTTGGCCCTGGCAGCCCCGGCAGCACAATGCCCACAGCACGGGGGTCTGGCACAGCTGCTGGAGAAAATGAGGTCCAAGGGTGCTGAGTGCAGCCCTAACACTACTTGGAGGCTCAGGGGTAGGTGTTGTAGCCATGGGTGTGGGAAGGCCTGGAGGAGCTGACCTGATACAGATGAGCTCCCAGCTCCATCTGCCATGCCCTCACCACACTCCGCAGTTCCATGAGTGCTGTTTTAGCTAGGAATTGGCACTGCTGTGCAGAACTGCTGTGCTGAATTTAGCCTTAGTTTCTGCCAGTGCAAGAGAACAGCATTTCCCAGCAGCACCGTACTGTGCCGAGCCATGCCAAACTGTGCCAGGCTGCTTGCCCTCCCTGCCTGCTGCTGGGAGAACGTGGGGTTGAAGCAGTTGCTCTGTTGGGTGAGCCGGCACCACATGCCGAGCAGCACTGGGGTTGGAGCCGTCTCTCTTTAATTACTGCCGCAATGTTATTCTTTTCAGTGCCACGTTAATTGAAATTAAACAGCTGCCACATTCTGGCTGGGACAAAAGTGAATCCATTTTCATTCCTCTCTGGTGTAATGAAGACTGACATGCTGTGAGGAAACAAAGGCGATCCAGCTGCTGCCTCCAGCCACACACACACGACAATTACCAGGGTGCCGTGCAGCCCAGCCTGCGCCACTGATGGGCACAGCAGGGAATGCAGTGCCCATGTTCTGGGGGAACCACAGGAACACCGCAGTGAGCCCAGATGCTGAGCCCAGGCCCTGGTTCCGTTTGTTGAGATGAGTTCCAGCCACAGGGCTGGCACTGCCCTTCTGCTTGCCCTTGCTGTCGGGTTCACCATCTCTGCAGGGTTACCCGTCTCGGTGGGTTCACTGCTGGCAGCCCCACATGGCCCCAAAGCCTGAACAAGGTAGGAGCTGAGCAAGATGTCTCCACCCTGTCCTATTCCTTCTTCTTTTTTAGGACCAAGTGTGTGTTCGTGATGCCATTCAGTACTTTAAGATATGCAAAATGAGGCACTGGTGCAAACCTCATTAACACTCGCCTCCAACATCATTAAGATGTTTCCAAGAAAATTAATTGAGAGACTCATTAAAAATAAATTAAGAAAAATGCGTTGCAGAGCGCCTGCTCCGAGCTCGTAAATCACGGCCCAAAGCTCCCGGCTGCAGCGCAGGCAATTAACGGCGGCCGATTTGTTTTATCCTGACTGCGAAAATTAGAAAGCAGACGTGGAGATTAGATTAGGGACGTCTGTCAAGCGGAACTCGGAGTGAATATTTTAGGATACTAAATAGAAATCGGTAAAACAAAGCCAAGACTCCATTCATAGCAGGCAGGCAGAGGTGCAGAAGGAGGAAGGAGTGCAGCACAGCATCCCAGGAGTGGCACTGCGGTGCTTCAGTGTGCACACACTGCTGTGTGTAGCCACAGCCTGGAGAGCAGCACCCACTGCTCCTCTGTGCCAGCATGCACAGCCTGCTCTGGAGCTGCTGCACTGCACAGCCGGAGCCAACGCGGCACCTCTGTGCACACAGCCGTCCCCAAAGCCTGGACCTGCGGGTCCCACAGCACTGCTGGACGGTGTGGGGCTGAACGTGGTTCCTCACAGCCATCCTGAGAGAGCGATGTTTAGAACAGTGTCCCTGTTTTTGCTGCACTCTGAAAATCAGGAAAAATCTCTGGATATAGAGGGCATTAAATCATTACATCCTTTGTTGTCTGGTCCCCTTTGTTCAGCCAGGCACAGCGCCCGTGTCCTGAGGTGCAGGTCCAGCTCCCTGCGCACCCTGCGGCTCCGGGCAGTGCTTTAGAAGGATGTCTGTCCATGTATGCAGGACATTTCAGAGCTTAGAAGTCCCCTGCACTTTAACTGCCTTTCTGTGGCAGCTCCTTCCTTGCTGCACCTGCCCCAGCATGGAGGGAATCCTGCCTCTGAGCCATCGCTACTTGTGATTTCAGTTCAATTTCAGTATTTATTGCCTATGCTAATAATGCAATGTCCTGAGAACCCTGTCTGGTTGGGTAACCAACTTACTGGCACCAGCGCAGCACACGCACACTGCTGGAAGCACCTTTCCCAGCTGCTGCCTTCCCACCCCTGATCATTGGTACACGGTGCCTTTCCCAGCCCATCCCAGTGCTGCTGCTGGCTCTGCTGGCTCCATTCTCTCCAGAACGTCTGTTTTGCAGCTAAAATTTTCCATGCTGAGCCTTTGCCTGAAGATGCACTTAATTCAAATGTTTGATTAACCTCCTTTCAACTATTTCTGAGTTATGGAATGAGTGGAAAAATACTCGCATGTAAGAACTTACTGGTGTTAAAAATAACTCTGACCGCAAGAAAAATTGCTGCATTTTTTTCAGCTTAACCAGGCTTCGTCCCCACAGGGCTTCACGCTTCCCCCGGAAACAAACAGCAGCAACGCCTTTGGGTGTGCTCAGATGGCAAAGCCTCGGCCTGGAAGGGGATGGAGAGAAAAAGGGAAATGGGAAGGGGAAGAGGAAGGCTTACGAGAAAGGGAAAGGAGAAAGGAAGGGGAAAAGGGAGGGAAGGACTCCCACTTTTTCTCATCCTCCATCCCATTTTTTTGGCTCCACTTCATTGCTTGCCTTTCCACCTGTTTTACACCTTCCCATCCTTTTTCGGTCTCCACTTTCAAGCTGGTGAAAAAGGGTGGGGCCAAACTAAAAAGTGGAGGCCAAAATGGGTGGAAGTCCACAGAAGCGCAGACACCGTAAAAGGGTGAGCAGGTGGCAAGAGGCTGGAAGTCAGGAAAAGGAGGGAGGATGAACGCGTGGGAGGCCCGAGGCCAGGAGAGGTCTGGGTGAGAGGCGAATGCCGAACAGGACCGGGAGGCCGGAGGGCTTAAGGGCAACCAAAGGAGCCGACGGGGCGCGGTCAGATCCCCCCGCCCGTCTGTCTGTTCGGCAGCGCCCGGCAGGGGTCGCCCTCGCCCCGCGCTCCCCGCGTTGGCCGCGGTGTTGGAGGCGGCTCCTCCCGCCGGGGCGCGGCGCTGCGGAGGGGAGCGCGGAACCTTTGTTCTCCGGAGCCCTCCGGCAGCCCCGCCCCGCGCTCCGCCCGCGCCGCAGCGCCCCCTCCTGGGCCCGGCGGGAGTTGCCGTCTCGATTCGCCGCTCGCGGAGACGGGGCGCTGCCTCGGTCACGGAAAATGCCCGGCGGGAGCGCGGCGCGGCTCAGAGGCGGCTCGCGGCGGGGCTGCACGCTGCGGTAGAGCGCGACGGCGCAGATTCCCTCAACGTTCCCCGACCGTATGCGGCTCCGAGCCGGACTCCGTCCTTCGGATCCACGGGGCGCCCGGTGGGGCCCCGGCCCCTTCACCGGCACACGGCCCGGGCGGGAGCGGCGGTCGCGCGATGTCACATCACATCCCGGGCCGAAGCCGACGGGTGGATGGGAAGGGAATCGCGTTCCACCCGCAGTGCCCGTTGGGTTCGGAAGGGAAAAGAGAGCAGAGTCTCTGGAATCTTAATGAACTGTAAAGGTTATTCCTCTGCCGCTGTAGTGATAATTTGCAATTCTCTGTTAGCAGAAGAGGGTATCGGCTCCAATCACATCTGGGTACCGTCTGGAGCACACTGTGTGTTCGGCTGCTGAGGAATATCAACAAATACAAATTATCAGCAGCGTGGCCAGAGTCTGCAGGGGAGAAATAACAAACGGGGAAGGCTTGCATGGATTTGCATTCTGCAATGAAAATGATCTCATTATTCTTTCCAGAGACTCAGCCAGCTACTTGAAAAATAGGAAAAAAACACCGCAACTCTGGGGAATGAGCCCCTCCAGAGCAGGGAGAGAAAACTGAGCAGGAGGAAACAGCATCAGTGGCAGAAATAGGTGGGAGGCTGGCCTGCAGCATGCCCAGCACCTGCTGGCAGCCAGCACCACTGTGGGAGCAGGCAGAAGCACTGAGAGGCATAGGAGTGTGAGAGCAGGTCCTGGTCAGCCCCAGCCCTGCACAACTGGAGGTGCTCGGCAGCCCAGCCTGGAGCTCCTTGGCAGTGCCCATGTCCCAGCAGTGCCTCTCACAGCTGTATGCCATCACAGCGACCACCCCCACCGCTGTTACTGCACTGTGCTGCCGTCTGCCTGTAGGCAGAGAACATAGATAGCTGCACAGGAGCTGCCATGTGTTTCTGTAAGATCCGCATGCTGGAAATAAGCAGAAAGCAGAAATACTGTAGGAAGGGAAAGGAGCAAAGAAAAAGCAGCACTGCTTAGGTCTGGTCACAGAATGCGATGCTTCCTGCAGCTGTAGCCCACAGAGAGAGGAATGATGCTCCTGGACAGCTACTTCAGTGTCAGCTTTGGGGATTTCCTCCTGCATCAGCAGCAACGAAACAAAAGAGGAACAGGGGTTGAGGGGGACTGCATAAATGGAAAAGACTCCTGTGACGGGGACCAGAGGGAGAGCTCAAACATGAAAGGGGGAGGCAGGTACAGGACTGTAAAAAGAGCCGGAGAGGGATCCTCATGCCTTTCCTTTCTGTAAGGTTAAGTTTCACTCTGACCCTATAGCAGAAATGCTGAGTCACAGCCTGTGATTGAGCACCTGGTGGGAAGGCAGAGCCAGCCCAGGGGAGCTCAGGTGCATGCAATGTACCTGAGTGATGGAAGAGGTGGGGCCAGGATCCTCCCTTGCCCAGACCTCATTTAAGGGTTGGCAGTGGGAGTAAGGTTATTCCTCTGCTGATTTCTGGCTACTGATGGCTTTTCAAAGGTAAGCTGTCTGTGGTTGCTGTGTTTGGGCTTGTTCTTGTTTGCTGTAGCATAAGACTGTGCTACTCTGCTATTAATGTTGTACTTTCCATTGTATTATAGCACTGCACTTGCTGGCCCAGGCAGATGATTATTCACAGTGGGTTACCTTAAAAAAAGAATTATGTATTGGATAGTCACTGAGACCCTGAGTACACTGAAAGAGGAACTTCTGGGGAAAACCCTGGGGTTCCCTGGTTTCTCCTGGCTCAGTACTGCTTGGGTTATTAAAGAATGGGGACCTATAAGAGACAATGGTTCTGTTATAACTGGTAACTGCTCAGCTACTTGTGTGGCAGGGGATGCTGGCCCCTCTGTAGTAAGGGCCTCCAGACAGGACCCGGGGCCCTGTGTTAGACTGTTTTTTTGGTCCTGAAAGAATATACAGTGAGTTATGGCAGTAGTTGAGAGGGGTGCAGAAGCATCAATTATTTGTGGTGATCCAATCACATTCTGGGGAGACAGGGTGGTGATTGGTGGGTTTGGGTGACAGACCATAGAATCATAGAATCACCAAGGTTGGAAAAGATCACCCAGTCCAACCGTTCACCTATTCCCAACAGCTCCCACTAAACCACGTCCCTCAACACAACATCCAGCCTTCCTTGCCTCAATGCAACATCCAGCCTTTCCTTGAACACCCCCAGGGTCGGTGACCCCCCACCACCTCCCTGGGCATCCATTGCAGTGCCTGACCACCCTTTCTGAAAAGTAATACTTCCTCATGTCCAGCCTGAATCTCCCCTGCCGTAGCTTGAAGCCATTCCCCCTGGTCCTATCACTGATGACACGAGAGCAGAGGCCGACCCCCAGCTCACTACAGCCTCCCTTCAGGAAGTTATAGAGAGCAATGAGGTCTCCCCTGAGCCTCCTCTTCTCCAGGCTGAACATTCCCAGCTCCTTCAGCCTCTCCTCATCAGCCCTGTGTTCCAGACCCCTCACCAGCTTTGTTGCCCTCCTTTGAACACGTTCCAGGGCCTCAATATCTTTCTTGCAGTGAGGGGCCCAAAACTGGACACAGTACTCAAGGTGCGGCCTCAAGTACCATCCTTCTAACCCAGATATGGTTGAGGTTGGGTGTCCCCCCAGCCTGGGAGTATAAGGTGTCTATTGCCCCAGTCCTGGAGTACTGGGCATAGACATCCTTTAGGGTCTGACTCTCCAGATGACTGTAGGAGAGCTCAGAAAGAGAGATGTGTTAGTATCCTGGCACTGCAGGTGATATTAAGAGGCTGTGCAAAACATGAGCCTATTTGCTTGCCCACTCTGTGCTGGGTTACTAAACCAGTATAGACTTCCAGGGAACCAAGGGGAAATCTCTAGAACAGTGCAGGAACTAGGAAAAGTAGGAATCACAGGATCTGCACGTAGCCTGTATAATTTCCCTGTATGGCCAGTATGGAAGTCAGATGGCACATGGGGAATGATAGTGAATTACAGAGAATTAAATGAGGTCACACCACCCATTTGTATGCTATACTCAATATTGCCTTCCTGATGGACACAATGAGTAGGGAGATAGAAATCTACCATTCTGTCCTAGACTTGATCAATGCATTCTTCAGCGTTCCCATTCAGGAAGAATCACAAGTTTGCATTTATGTGAGGAAGCAGGCAGTGGACCTTTCAGGTCCGGCTGCAGGGGTATGTGCATTCACCACCCTACTGTCATAACTTAGTGGCACGTGACCTAGCAGAGTGTAATAATCCTACTAACATCAAACTGTACCATTAGACTGATGATCTCATGTTAATGTCTGACTCTGTAGTTTGGTCATGGGAAATTATGAAGCTGACACAGTGGCCCGAGTCCGATGGATTGAGAATTCACCACCTGGAAACGCTGCCTGTGGGTTTCATCAGAAGCTGCAGCATGGAGGACAAAAGGCAATGTGGGCAGCTGCTAAAGCATGGGGACTGCCCTGCCCGTACAGCTGCCTGGCATCGTCCAGGTATGCTGAGAATGCAGTGCTTGCTCCAGGAGGAGACCAAGACCGTTGCCTGGAACAACAGCCCATCTTGCTAGAGGACACAGTCCCCTTACACTGGGCCCTTCCCTCAGTCTGAGGGAGTGAGATATGCTCTGACTTCACTGACACCTGAAGTGGGCTAGTGCAATCCTATCCAGTGCTGAGAGTGAGCCAGGCATATACCATCAAGGCCAAACTTACCAAATTGATGGCTGCCTATGGAACACCTCAAGTCATCGAGAGCGATCAAGGCACTTGTTGCACGAGCACAATGGTACAGTGCTGGGCAAAGGGAAACAACATTGATTGGAGATTCTACCTGCCGTATAATCTGACAGGGGCAGGCCTTACTGAATGCTGTAATGGTATTCTTAAGGCTGCCCTGAGGACACTACAGACAATGTAGGCATCCCTGCTTAGGATCCGAATTATGGGCACTGATAATTAGGTAAGACCCCAGATTGGTGATGAAAATAATCTGCTCCCTGCTCCTGAAGACCTAGAAACTGTTACCCATAGAATAAAGTGGCACAAAGGAAGGACTGCAAGAACATGTCATGATTGTGTTCACCAACAGTGACTTAACTGCAGCATTCATCTGCATTCACTGTTGGGTGTGCTTGTGCTGAATGCTAAAAGGTGGGTAAGAGCCACCAGGCTGAGGTCTGCAGGGATGAATCAGCCTCTCAGCACTTTGGTCATCTGAAGCACA